GCCATATATTACTGTATCACTTTGAAAAAGGCAACACAGCTGGTGAAGCTTTTCGCGATATCAACGAGCTTTTTGGCGAAGGAACAATTGGAAGAAGTACGGTCAAAGAATGGTTCGTTCGCTTTAAAAATGGTGACACAAGCTTGGAAGATAAACCTGGAAGAGGAAGACCATCAGATTTTGACGACCAAGCACTTTTTGGATGTTGTGGAAGAAGACGAAAGCCTCACTACCCGAATTTTGGCCGAAATGTTTAATGTTGATCAATCCACCATCGTACAGCGGCTCAAGAAGCTCGGAAAGGTGTGGAAACTAGCTGGGTGGGTCCCTTACGAGCTATCGGAAAAGAACAAAGAAGATAGGATCCGAATTTTCACTGAGTTGAGCTTAAGAAACGAACAAAATCCCTTCCTGAAGTTCTTGGTTACCGGTGACGAGTCATGGTTGTTGATCAAAAACGTCAAAAGAAAGAAGGTATGCGCTGACCTCGGCCAAACCCCAAAAGGAATCTCAAAGAATTTGCACTGCAAGAAGGCCATGTGGTGTGTTTGGTGGGACAGATCCGGCATTATCTACTAAGAGATTATCGCCAAAATTCGCCAACAAAGCTTCTGTTTTTGGTGGGATGACAATGATGTGGAGCAAAGATGGCCGATTCCAGACCGGGCGGGGAAAAAGATGCATACTCTCAACAGCGACGTTTATCTGGCTCAGCTCGACCGCCTCCATGCAGCCATCCAAGCCAAGAGACCCCGCAAAAAGAACCACATCGTCTTCCAGCACGACAACGGCAAGACCCATGTCGAGCATCGAGTGATCGAATCGATCGAAGAGAAGGGTTGGGATCTGCTCCCACACCCGCCATACTCTCCACGGAAGCTCCCTCGGACTACCACGTCAACCGCTCATTGAAAAACTGGATGGTGAACAAAGTATACGAAGATCTGGATGAAGTTGTCGAAGATGTTAAGGAGTGGATCGCCTCTAAGAATCGTGACTTCTTTATCCGTAGAATCGATATGTTGCCAAGCAAATGGGAAGCAGTTATTGAAGTGGATGGAGAATACGCCCCAGAATAATCATTCAAATCTGTTTTTATTGTGTTTTGTTGTTGTTTTGTTGAATAAACTTTGATATCACAAAGTGGCTGGATAATTATGCAACCCAATATTATTCGCTAAGCGCTTGACTAACTAATATCATCAAACATTCTTAATCTCTTAATAAATATAAATTCAAATCATTTTCGCAACCATACAAAGTTTGTATTAAAAATAAATATGATATTCATAATCTACGTACAAAGCCAAGCCAAATGATGCGATTTTCTGAAAAAAAACGTTTTTTCGTCATAACTTCTTGCCCTTGGTCTCCCTCAGGAATCGAGCGAAATTTTTAGAATTTCTATTGAAAACCAATACTATATTCGTAATCTACGTACGAAACTGAGTTCAATCATGTATATTTAGCAGAAAAAGAATTTTCTCAAAAATTTGTGGCTTTGGTCCCCCTCAGGCACTAATGAGAGTAAATTGAATTTTTTGTGGGTTTCGAGTGTTTGCCGCCAAGTTTCTTTTGTCAATTTATAGGTTTTAAGTGATGCTCTTTACGATGGAATAGTCAAAATCTGGATGCCTTAAGTTCCCCATAAAGTGAACTTATACCGTATTTCTTAAGCCACGTTCACATGGCACATTTTAACTTAGTTTAATCCTAATCTGTGAGTAGTCCGATGGGAAAAGAGACTTTGTCTTACTATACAAAAGCAGTGATGTTTTTCTCTATTTGTCAAATTCTAGAAAAAAAATCTGTATAGAGGAAGTTTCTATCTTTTCCCCTAATTCCTGCTGCGTAACTGAGGCTTTCATTTTAGATTTGAAACGTGTACGCTTTGCGAAAAAAATAGAGCGTACGCATACGCACTGGTTGGAAAAACAGGATGTACTCGTACGCTGAGCGGTTAAATTCTGCTAGAAACACTGTATGAGCTAAAAAAAGAAAAACAACAATCTGTAGACCAAAAGAGCCAAATGAGTAGGTGTCCTTTACAGTTTAAGCGCACTCCACTCATTCTCAGTTCACTCTAGTTCACCAAAATAGTGCTAGGTTATCCTTAAAGTGTAAAAGTGCAAAATTGCTACTTAATAGTTAGTGTTTCTAATAGCAATGCGTACATATGCTTCGCTTCTTCTGTTACGCTTTTCTCAGAAAAGCAGAGTGCACAATATGTGCTTTGTTTTCTAACGGTACCATTTTTATATTTAAGAGAAAATAAGAAAAAATTTTTAACTAGTGAGTGATGCTGCGGGTTAGAACACACAAAAGACAGGAAAGCAGTTGAATTTACCTCTTTTTTAATTTTGCTCTAATTCCTGATGCCTAAATGGATGCTTTCTGTTTAGATTTAAAACTTCTCCGCTTGGGGAGAGAAAACAAAGCGTACTCGTACACTAAGAGGATAAATTCTGTTAAAAATACTGACTGGAGCAAGGAAGACCCACAGGCACACTTGCGCCATCAGGAGGACCTAGCTACTTAGGAAAAGTTACAAGACAAACTGAACTTTTGAATCTGCTGTAGGCCAAGAGTTCAACATTGCAACACTTCTAACCTGTAAATACATTCAGTATTAATCTCTTTCTCTCTCCCCTGCTCTACTTCTTGTGAATAGTCAAAAACGGTAAAATTTTGATCAGAATTCTACGGTGAGATTGTTCTCCATTTTTGTAGAAAATGTAACTGTAATGCTGGGCGAAGTTCCGATGTCATCGTAAAGCAGTACCAATGAGCAAACGATGGCTGCGACTGCAATCATCTAGCTTCAGCTTGTCTTTTACGCTACGACTAGAAGTTAGGGCTTGAAAAAGACGCCATTTGAAATGGATGGTCAAACTCTCCGGAAATGGCAGTCAAAAGTGAAAGAGAAACTACCATATGAGCGGGCGTTCGAACGCCCGTTCAAGCTGCTCGTTGGAACGGGTGGTTGAACTCCCTCTGACGTCGACGAAAAGATGTAATAGAGAACTAGTAGGTGAACGGGCGTCAATAGATCACGTGGAACGGGTTGTTGAACTCTCTACAGGTCTTTGAACGGGTCCAGTTCTTGACACCCGTTCGAACGCCTTAACCCGTTCCCGTTGACCACAGAACTAGTTCTAAATCGATTTGAACTTGTTGCGTTCCATTTTTAAATGCCAGTCGCTACTACCAGTCACTACTGCCAGCCTCAAAATGTATTGGAAAAGCATTGTCTTATTTGGTTCTGACTTTCTTTTCGTTTGTTTACACTGTCAGAATGTGGTTAAGAATCGTTTTTTAAAGCCGTTTCCGTTGATACATATGTACAGGTCGATGGAAGAGATCGAACTTCATTCTCAGCGTACATCTTCTGGTTACAGTCTCTGATGCAAGAAAGAGAGGAATTAGATGACCAATTTTGTTCATCGCTATTAGAACCAAAAAAACTAAGGCATTTTATTTTGTGTTTTATCCGTTAACATTGAAATGTGAAGAATCGAAGTGCAGACAAACAAAAACCTTTTTTCTTCTATTTCTGGAAGGATGTTTCTGAGGAAGAAACAAGAAGAACAAATATTCGCTTCTTTCCATACACATAAATAAAAGTTTGTTCGGTCAAAACCGATTCCAGAGTCGTCTTCTCCATGGCTGATTAAGTGGAGTTTAGGAAAATTTTTCGACGTCGTTTTTTCTTTGGTCCCATACGATAACTTTACGAAAACGTTGTTGAGTAAGATCATGGGAATTTTTTTTCTGAAGTACCCAGATCCAAAAGTTATTGCGTAACACATAATCAACCATGGAGAAGACGAATCTGCAATCGGTTTTGACCAAATAAACTTTTAAAATATTTCGATCTGGTGATATGCTTCCCTAATTTTAAATTGTTTTATCAAAAGAGTGTTGTTTTACTTGTTTTTCATGAATGTATTCCCTGTAAACGCGTGAGATGTGAGAAGAAAAAGTGTTTTCTCTTTTCACACTCAGGACAACACTATTTTCTTCTCTTCGTT